AAACCAGTCATCATCTGAAGGAGAAAATGTGCTTTTCTTCTTGTTCACGTGATTTTTTTTTTTTGGTCATATTTCCTGGTGTGCCATCTCACTCTTTCAAACTGTAACATTACCAAGATATGTTATTTAAGATTACACAGGAAAAGATGAAATAATAAACTAATTTATAGGTGCTTCAGGTTTTGTCTGAACTGGGATGGATCATTCCTTCCTTCCTCCTGGGCAGTGATTTCTTTAACAAAGATTTGCTGGGACAAAAATTCACCTTCTATCAAGTCTCTATCACCTTCACACACCCGTTTCCCTGCTCTAAGCTGCCACACAGATACTGAATACTGCACATGAGCTGTTTATTGGGATGCTCCTTGTGTAAATATACAGGTTTGATTTAGCTGGCTGTCAGAAAGGCAAACAGGAATAATGGAAAATATCTTCAGCCATCTCATAGCAAACTCTCATAATATAAAACTTCAGCTGTTCACAAAACTCTTACTTTTTTACTTCAGGCACCTCAGGAAATTGCTTTGCAAGAACTGAGGGCCAGATAACCAAAAAGACTGTGGCTAGTAAAGATATCTGGAGGAGCCACAGGGCAGCCATTCAAAACCCCATCTGCTGTGTCCCTGTTCACCTTTGCCAGGTCTCCTCCACAGGTATAAATCAGGTGGCCTAATTACTTCAGGAGAGCTGGGTCACATTGTGCCAATAATGACTTTGCAAATATTTGAGTATTTATGAGGTGCTAACTCTTGTCTCTATGTGTTCAGCTTAGCCTGGATTCAGCTGTGATACCCAAAGCCAAGTACTTAGTGGTTAAGCCTGATTTTAAATGCACAGAATGCACAAAGTGTCCTGGCTTTGCATCCAAAATCCATGCTTGACATCCACCCAATCCAACTCACCCCTGCAGGACACTGCTGAGTCATTTCCCACTGGTCAGAGCCACACAAAATCTGTGTACATAAAATCCAAGTGCACAAAGCAGACTGGAGAGTAACAGTGTAACTCTGCAGGAATGGCCACAGCTACAATAACTACAGGCAAGGGGAATTAGGTCTTATGAGTATAAATGTTGAGCTAAAGTATTAATTTTTGTTTCTCTGAAAGAGCTCCATGAGGCATAAAAATGTTCAGGAATGTTTAATCCTAGAGGGAATGAGACTTATCAAGAAATTTAAAAGGATGATATGTTCACCTCTGGTTCTACAGGCAAAGAAAAGCCAAGAAAGTCCAAGGCATTAACAACTTGGATGTTATTTTCATGCTGCTCTCACCCCCTCAAGTTTGATGCTACAGTGCAAGGCAAATCTGGCTCTGGCAAGCAATCACTAACTTGTGATAAGCATTAGGTTTACATTTAAAGATCAAAGTAAACATACATAAACCATTTTGAGTACATACGTATCCTGTGCTTTATGTCCTGGCCCTTGGGTTTATAGCCCCTCATCATTGTATTTCCCTCTCACATTCCTAGTAGTGGGTCCAGGGACAACTGGAATTTGTACTGAAAAGAAAATGTAGTTAATTTAATTGAGAATAATATGTAGAGGGCTAGATATTTCATGCAGAAATTGTATTTATTGGTCAGTAGATGAGGCCAGAGGAACTACAAGATCTGTCACTGTCACTCTCACTGGAGGAACAATGAAGCACTGAAGTTTTTGAATACTCACTGAGCTGCTTTTCTCCCCTCTGACAATAGCCAAAGGATCAAAGCCTTAACAATGCACATGTACTTAGACAAAATTCCCATTTATCTGACACATCCCAATGCTAGATCTGCCCATAACTAAAACTCCTATTCAAAGATCATTGTGCCATCAGAGGGTGGAGGGTTGACAATTTTTCCATTTCAAGGTAGATTCCACCTACTCTTCCCAGAAGAGAGCCTGGTCCACAGCTAAGCAATCCACAGGCCATCCCTATGACCAAATCCTGAAACCCTTGCTCATGACTGAACTCCACCTGGGATCCATTTGTACAGGTTTTTACACTTCAATAAATCTGACATTTTACTTCTGTTTTTTCTACCCTTTTCAACTGGATAAAAATGAAGGCATAATTTTGAAAACCTGTATTGAAAACTCAGTTTTTCTGAGCATTTTATGAAGAGTTTAAAAGTGCAGATTTCAGCTTGGGCTCTAAATAAAACTCTCAAGACTTTGGTTGGAATAAAACTCAGTCTACTGTAAAGTGAAGTACTGAAAGGATGCTTCATTTCATGTCTTAGGAGAAACTGCCAGAGATGATTCCTGCACAGTGATCTGCACAGGTTAGGAGCTATTTATTAATCTCAATTCTATTTATTACATGTAACAGGTTCTTCTAAAGCCACATGTATAAACAAACAAACTGATGGCAGATTTATAGTCATTCTGAAAAAGGTATTAAAAGTGTGCTTGTAAAAAAGTATCTGAGCCTGTTCTATGTGTAGTAAACTACTGGGGAAAAAAAAGGATACCTGACAGCTCAAAGAAACCACGTTCATCTTCCTCAATTCTTGGGAACCATCTAATCCATAAATGAAGCAAAGCCTTGTGAGATCACCTACCACACACATTCATGCAGGCTGAAAACTGTATCTAGGTCTGGAATTACAGCAGACTTGCTGCAAAACTCCAAGTTAGCTCCTGTCCGCTCTTGCTAGTTCTCCTGGCTGCTCAGTGTGTGCAGAAATCTCATCCTGACCCTTGAGTTTCCTTTCAATTGAGTTGGGGGTTTTTGAAATTGCAAATCATAAGATGAAAGTGCAGAGAAATACTTCTGTTTTCAAAGTACCTGAAGAGTTTTAGGTTTGGTTTCTAATAACTGTCTGTTATCTAGTCCAGAAGATTGTTTTTTGATGGTCTGAAGTGCACCATTAGTTTTACATGCTCTTATACACTGGTCTGACTTAGAACCAGTCTAACTGTTTTGTTACAAATGGTTTTAGTTTCCAAGTAAACCAAGTGGCGAAGCAATTCAAAACATATTGAATTCATTTAACACATTAATAACCACAACTGGCTCTAAATCAAAAAGAATTACTCTAGACTTAAAGAGTTTTATTTCTGACAGTTCTTACTTTTAAAACAAAGTAAAACATATTGGATATATTCACTTACTTTAAAATAGCAAATCAGTAACACAGGGATTAACATATTCCTTTTCTTCCTCATGTCCAAGACATTTCTTTATACAGAAGAAAAAGCTTGATTTCTCTTCAATGCAAAAAAATAATCCTGTAAATACACTTTTCATGTCCCAATGTGCAGCCACTTTGCTGAGCTTTTAGATTCTACAATTAGATAAATCAGATTTCTTAGTGAAGATCTAAAACTGTAAATACAATTTCTCTTCACTTCATTAGGGATCTGGGTAATTCCTGTCTTGGGAGCAGATCCTGTCCATGAGCAGCTGGCCCAGCCATCACCACTGCACAGCTTGTGGAAGCATGAGATGCTTTGTAGCTCCTTTTTCCCCTTATATTAAAGTGACAAGCACAGCCTGAGAGCTCTGAGCTCACAGCACCAACAGAGGGCACTTGGCAGCCGGTGCCAGCAGCAGGGCGATGCAGGACAGCTCAGGGGGCACCTTCTGCAACAACAGCTCTGCAAACAACACCTGCTGAGCTGCAGGCCGGGGCAGCCCTCCTGCCTGGGTCAAGGCAGCAAGGGAGAACAAGCCCAGACAGCCCTGACAAGGCTTCTGGAGACTCACAGCAACTCACAGGAACTGCTGCAGGGAAGGCACCACAGCCCAGGTCCCGCTGCTTGTGAGGTGTCTGCGCCCACACTTCCAAGAAGCTCCTGGCATGGCCTGCCCGGTGGGATGGAGCAGCTCCACCACTCCCTACCACTCCAGGAGCCCCTGGCTCCATCCCACTGGGCAGGCCATGCCAGCTGGCACTGGGTCACCAAGGCCCCATTTCTGTCACCCGGGCATGGGGGAACAGCACCCTTCCCATGTGCCATTTGCACTGGGATGAGTTGGTGTTGGAGAGGCCACCGAGGAGTCAGGAGGGACCATTTCTGATGGGAACTGTGCTGGGAGGCTGGGCAGCAGAACTCTGCCATGGTGCCCTTGCCAGACCTCTGTGTTATCCCAAGCCATGCCCACTTTATCCTGACTTTTGCTGCAGTGCTCTTGCACATCACACCTCCAGGACTTGACCCACACAGAGGCTGCTCCCACAACTTGCCCCTATGACTTTCCCAGGAATGGGAATGATTTAATGTTAATGGCTATCCTCTTCAGAACAGGTCCTGGAGAGTGGGGCATAAGAGGTCATCATTGTTTAAACACTTTTGTTTTGCCTTCTTTCTCAGAAACTTTAAATCATGAGCTTCCTTACACAGAATGCCCAAACTGACAGCTTTAGGATGTGTGAGAAAGACACAATTAATTTAGTGCAAAAGATAAGACATTTCCTTGGGGAAGCACTAACACCAGGCCTATTACCCCTCAGAGTCATTGCAGATTAGTGTTCTGCAGAGAAAGGGATTCTAAATCTTTTTAATTGAAAAATGTTTCTCTTTTCCTTACCATTATAAATTTCTGCCCAGGGGTTTAAGAGTTTTTAAATTATTTCTGAATTACATCCAATTTCTGGACAGTTTATCAAAAAAAGGAGGATCAGTTTGTCTCTTGCTTTATTAATTTATGTCAGACCAGAGAAAGGAGAAATGTATTCCCCTGGTGACCCAAATGAAATAGTCACATAAAGAGATGCTTAGAAATACAAAGACCAGACATCTCTAACATGTTAAGATTGGCAGCTGTCACCAACACATCCACTTGTAGGAATACATGCCATAACTATGCAAAGTGGAAGGATAATTATCCAAACACAGTGATGGAAACAACAGTCAAGAGAAAAATGTTACTCAGCTTCTCTCTCCCTTTTTCTGGCTTCAAGTTTGAAAAACATCAAAACCAATTATTGTAATCCATGTAGGCTGTTTGACTCGTAAGTCACTAAATTACCTCAAGAAAAGAAGAAAACGCAAATATCCTTTTACCTTTAGCAAATCCTGAGCAGGAACATTCAAAACTGTGAACTGGACTTGCTCAGTCCTCGATCCATGGCCTTGGAGCAGCCCTCTTTTTATCCCAAAAGGGAGATTTGAAGCTAAGTCCTGGCTTTGAGTGGTGTAGGCACCAACCCCAGGAGCCTCCTGGAAAGCACAGCTCCCTTTGGTGTCCGTAGCCTGCTGGAAGACAGGAAAAGCATCACACAGAGTTAGTTAATTCTCTATTTAGATGTCCATTTAGCTATAAGGCTGCCTGGCTATCTTTTCTAGAGCTCTAAACACAAAAGCAACTTTGTGCTTTGAGGTGCACAATTTGCAATTTGGGGGGCAGCATATTTAAAAAGGCACTCTTCAGGTGAATGTTTCTATACTGGTCTGCCACGGTCTTTGGGCAGCTGCATAGCCCACAGATCATTTGTGTGTTAGGATGATTTGGTTTTTTCGTCCTTGGAAATCCTTCCAAACAACTGCATTCTTTCCACTTTTCCTGACTGTGTAATGGTTGTGCTTACTCTGATCTGTACTGAAGAAAAAATATTTTCCTTTTCTAATTCAATCCTTAGCCCTTGTTTTCCCAACCTCTCGTTCTCAAGAAACGTGATTTCTTAAAAAAAAAATAAATCTAATTAAGCCATTTATCAAACTTTTCCAAGTGGGTAGAGTGACAAATTAGCCCTATCTTCCACCAACAATCTGATGGATGGGAAGATAAAGATGCAGAGGCTGTTATTTTAGCTGGAAGCTCTCCACTATATCAATTGTTTGGCCCCAAGCCAAAGGACCCTAAGAGTTGACAAGGACTAATGACGAGTTCATGAAGTTTATGCAGCGTGAGCCCTGACATCAAAGGAATGCAGCCTTATTAGCAATATCTCTACGCCTTCTCCTTGCAAAAAAAAAAAAAAACTAATTTGTTTTTTCAAAAGATTTTACTTAATCATTCTACTCTTTCAGCAAATGGAAAAAAATTCAAACTGGAAATAAATGTGCACAATAGCTGATGAGTTCTGCTCTTCTCTATAACTAGGAAGTGATTGTTATGACTTTTAAGTAATGTCCGCCAAGAGAGGCTAAGACAGGTAGACTGCAAATAAGTTTCCTAGGAGTCTTTCCTTTCACCACTATTTGCTTTGAAATACTTGCACTTTTCCCAAGCATGAACTCTTGGTGGTTTTAGGATATGAGGTTAGGACTGAGGTGGATATTGGGCAGTGTTTGTAACTCAGACCTTTCTCCCTTCTCCCAGTGTTTCTATTTTCATGTGCACCATTTTGACGTGAAATGGAAACGCTGTGGAGAAGGTGGAATGCAATTACTACCTGACTGGAAAGCAGGAAGAGAGGATATAACAGCCAGGATGACTTCTAAGAAGAATCAAATCCACAACTCAACAACAAAAACCTCTTTTGATATCTTTGTTTGACAAAACAAGCCATTTCTGCAGATACTACATGTTACTCTGGACCAGAAGTTAAATCCATATATTTTTTACTGGAAAAGTATTTAAAGATTACTCTTGATCTCTTGATGTCCCATTCTTTATAACCTTTTTTTTTTCTCTTGTGGAAACAGGACAGTCTTTAACTTGCTGGCACAATGAGAAACTTTGGTATTGCTTTATCAAATCCAACTGCAGCAGTCCTGCATAACCACATACCTGATTAACTTGATTTATCTTTTCCACACAACATTTTTACAGGATGGAATTAAAAACAATACTGCAATGAAATGACGACAGCACTGGAAGTCAATGCAAAGCCATATCAAGCACATCTCACAGTATTTACCTTCACTTTCCAGTCTGGATTTAATAGTATGTGTGGAAGGAGCACTGTGCAAAACGAGGGATGTCATCCATCTTCAACCCTCCTGTGCCTCAACAAACTGCCCTGGATTATCCCTCCTCTATTGCTCCCAATCCATCACCAACTTGCTCTGAGGGGCTTTTTTTTCCTTTTTTGCTTTTCCGAAGGGGATGTGCCATTGCATCTGCCATGCTGCTTTTGGCCCTGGCACATCGAGGCAATTTACATCCCACAAGCTCTGATGGCTTTTGGGGAAATACAACAAAGCTTGGAGTCTGTGAGGTCCAACACAAACAATCACAGAAAGAACAGAAGAGAACTTGTAAATACTACAACCTTACCTGGCAATGTCAAAACCAGGAGTTGAAATTCTGGTTGAAAACACCACAGTAATTTCTTTTTTTTTCTTCTTCCTGATGCATTTAATATTTCTAAGTTCCTAATGTACCTTCTTAGCTGCCTATTGATAACAGGGCTGCTTGGGAACCATATTCTCTCCATAACATCCCCTTGCAATCCCTGGAAGGAAAACCTAAGTAAAGAAAAATGCACTGGTTGAATTTTTCTACTTAGAAATAGGGGTTTTTTTCAATAAAAATGAAGTGTAAGTATTATGACACTATGCAATTAAGTGTTCAAATGTCATTGCTTCTAACTTAGGAAGAGGATTCCTTGAACAAAGAAGCTTAAATGTAAATTGGCTGGAAATTAAAAAAAAAAAAAAGAAAAAGATCAGTGCTGAAGTGGCCAATGAACCAAACTGTTTACTTACTTATAATTAGCAGCATGGTCATTGTCTGGCTGCCCTGGCACTCTGTGAAAAGCCTGGACAGACTGTGATTTAAGATTATTTAGAAGATTTATTTGTTATTTAAGATTTGTTCATTGCCTCAAGAGATAGGTAAAACAACTCTCTCAGTCACTCAGCTTGGTTGGGGGGTAGTGGCTACAATTCAATCCTATTTATCCTTTCTTCAGTAAAATAAAGGCTTTTCCTTTTCTTTAAACATGGCTCCAATTGCTGAACAGAGCAAACTCATTCAGAATTACAAGCTCCAGATTTTTCAAAGGTTCCTGAATCTCTCACACATTTTAGCAAACAAAGTTAAGAAATTTTGTTCCGTAATTTACAATTTATTACACAATTAAATGAAAGAGCTTAAAAAGGCTTAGCTACAAAATAAATAATAATAATAATAAACTTACTCCACCCTGCATTTGTCTTTTATTTGCCAGATGGCCAGTTTGTTTTACTTCCTCAACACAACTTTAGAAAATACAGCAATGTACATCTCCCACCTGGAGGCACAAACTTCAGCAGCCAACCCCAAATTAAAACAATAAACTCACCTTTCATTTCTGCTCAAAGGTAATGTATAATTCAGCTAGAGCTGAGGGATACTCACATAATTTGCCTTTAAATGTTGCCAAATAGACTCTGTGGTAAGTCTGGTAGAAGGACAGACAAGCAATCCACCACACTGCTACTACAGCTACAGAGGGAAGTGCACAGGTTTGCAGATCAGCTGGAATTTGGGCTGTTCCATCATGCCTGGGAAACTGAAGTGGAAAGATGGCAAACAAATCAGAATGCAGAGACACTGCTCAGATGTGGCAGTGCAAATAGCCATTTCAGCCATCAAAGGGATCTGGTTTGCACTGCTCTTGGTTTTTTTCTTCCTCTAAATCATACTAATACTGTGTCTTTTCTCAACTTTATTTCAGTCTCTTGCATTTAGGAACAGTTTCTGATTTTAAGATGACTTCACATGAGTATTAAGACAGCTTTTGCTCACTAAATGATACATGAAGAGAATAATGATTTCAGATCTGTATGTTCTATTTTAGCTATTTCCACTACCAGGAAGCAATGGGCTGACCTACTTGTGTGTTACAAAAATAGCCAAGGATCTTTAAGCAAAATCAATGCTGCTGAGCTGAACAGAAATGGAGAGGGGCAGTGTGCTCACAGCACGAGCCCTTTGGTGCCCACCCCAGCACTGCTGTAAGAGAACACCTCCATGCATGGTCCAAAACAACCTGGGCACTGCTGAAAAACTCAAACGTTTCTTTTCAAAAGGTGACATTCAAGTTGTAGGCTGAAAATCCACTGAGGCTTTTGGTGGGCATCACTCTGCAGGTCTGAAGATCCAGACTGGAGGCAGCAGATTGGACCCCAGGGAACCTGTGTGCTTTCTACCAAAATGCCTGATTTTACACCGTTCCACCAGCCTGCAGAGGTTTTGGTACTTGCTTTCTTTACAACTCCAATCTAGGTGCTGCCAATCCCTTCTGCTGATAACAAATGCTGATAACATGCACAAATCCTTTCACTGTCTCTGTCTTCATAACCATTGACAGAATTCTATTATCAAATTTACTGCACCTCCCTTATTTTGCAGTGTTTGCTGTTACCCCAGGGATGAATACCAGACTTTCTGCAGACAACTGGACTTTCTGTGCCACTAAGATACAGTTCACTACCACAATGCTCAGCTGAGTCTCAAAGCCTTTCAGATCATAGTAACTTCACTAGATGGCAGTGGAGAGAAACATTACTTCATCTCTATGTATTTTTAATAGGAGAGGGACACATCCCAGCAAGTCCTGCAGTTTATTAGTGCTGTCTTGATTAACACTACATCAAAGATGGCAATTCTCTCACCCACACAAAAGTCCAGGGGCTCCTGCCCAGCTAAATCTCTCTGTAAATGTTTGGGAAAGCACAGACACACTTCCAGCACTAATGCAGAGAGCAACATGCACTCCTCTGAAGGGTTTTTCTCATAAGCTCAAACGTACCATGGTCTTTCCTGAAATCCCAGGAAAAGACAAGTTCCAAAAAGAAAAAGTTTCCAAAAGAAAACTTTCCTGACAAGTCAGAGACACTGTCCTTCAAAGAACCTTAACGTTCATGCCACAAACATGATGAAGAAAATGAGTGAAGAGTAAGAATGAGAAAGCAAATGGTTCAAGGAGCTTTGTGAGGACTACTCTGCCTTCAATAAAATCCTTTTCATTCACAGGAAATCCTTACAAATACATGTTTCTTGGGAGAACTCTCTCGTCTCTTACAGGTAACTCAAGAAACAAAGCTTAATTTTTCAGACTTCTGACAAAACTTCAAAGCAGCAAGTTCTGTAACTTCTAAGGTTCAAAATCTTCAATAATTCAGTCTTTTGAATACAGAAAACTGAGGTCTCCCAGTCTTTGGAAATTGATACACCTGGACAAAAGTAAAGAACTAAAACAGAGTGGATTATTGCAGCGAAGGGCATTACTTCAATTAAGAGTTTATCAGTAAAGTTCGTAAGGAGACAAAAAAATTTGGTTTCTTCTAGCATCAAATGTAAAAAAAAATTTCTAAGGCTTGTTTCTTGCTGTGGAAGAAATATTAAAAAACTCAATTCACTGCCTAAATCACACTTCTTTAAGCAATTCTTGCCTTTATCTTAACGATTTCCAAGCCTTTCCCCTCAGAGAGCAATACATTGTCCTCTGGCATCTCAGCTGCTCCCTCACCAAACTGTTTGCAATAGCAAGCAGAGATTCAGGATATTGAAAGTGCTGATAAAAAACAAACCCAGTTGTGTTGCAAGTGACTTTTGACTTATGCCTGCTAAGCACAATTCAAAGGCTTGAACTTTTAAAAGCATCATTCCCTCTATTTATTTTTGTGTAAATATGAGCAGATGAGAAACAATTCCTTATGGCATTTCAATCTGGGAGACTTCTCTTGCTTTTCCTCCTCACTGGCCATTGAGAAACAGAAATATCTGGAGGTGCAAAGCCCCAGGGTTTTGTCAGTGACACAAGGAGTTGTATTCTCTGCGTCTCTGGTCAAACAAACACACACAATACATGAGGCTGTCACATAACGAACAACTTGTTGCCTAAATCAGCTTGGTAAAAAAAAAAAAATATTACTTCTCCCCAAGCATCAAGAGATGGAGATTTCTAGAAAAATACCCACATTTCAGATTATCTCAGTGGATTCCCCCAGATGTAGATATTGTAAACAAACACTATACATGTAGATACTGTAAACAAACACTATAAATGTTTGCAAACACAAACATTTAGTTGTGGAATGAAATACATTTAGGAGAAACACATAAGACCAACCTGACAGAACAGTGATGCCACTTGTGCTCACTCCAATCCCGATCGCAGGGAAGTAATTTTCTTTATCATTAACATTAGAGATCTTCATGTTGGATGCCCTGGATGACACCAGTATGCAATAAGACAGTCAGGTACCCTGGAAAAAAGCCAGAAGTCCTCTCCAACAGCCTAGATAATGACAAAACAGCCCTTTTAGTTTATTTATTGCAGTCATTCAGTTCCTCTTCTTCAACTCTTTAATTTCACCTTACACAAGAAGATCCCAATTGCAGAGTAAAGAACACTGTTGCACTGTGTCCTTCCCACTTTCTCCCCAGCACACTCATCAATCACAGAGCTGTGGGCTTGCCTGGAAGCTGTGCCATCCTGCTAGGTTTAATTAAGTAGCCTTAAAGTAAGTGGCCAATCAATATTGATTCATGTGGGTCTCACTGCACTAAGTCATCACAGTGTCTGAAGGCACTGCTGATGTGAATCTAATACCCTGGCTTGGCCTGTCCACATGCATGTCAAATGAAGATTAAGAGTGAAAAAAAAAATCACTCACTGAGATATTTTCTCCTCCATAAGATGCATCTGGCTGAATACAGAGCAGAATCCCTTCCTTTGCAGAACTCTACAAGTATTTCCCAGCCTATTTACTTTGCATTTCATTCCTCTGCACAGGACTAGAATTTTGTACTGCCACTTAAAATGTCTTGACCGTCATTTCCTGAAGTTTGGATTTGAAGCTGATAGATACTGATTAAATCTGACCATAACCTGCACAACACACAGCTTGTAATGAGGCCTGGAAATTGCTGTGTGATAGTTATGATAAAATATCATCACAATAAAATCTTCTTTATCCACTTCAAAATACAACTGTTAGCAATCAATTGAAAGGCATTATTATTGACACTTGCATATCAATATCTAAATTAAATTGATCTAACTCTGGGGAACCTGCTCTGATTTCCTAGCACTTCAAGCAAGTTTCTCTCTTCTCTAAAGGGAAGTAAGGGTTTAATTGTCCCATCTCCATAAGTGATTTTTTTACCACAGCCTAACTAGCTGTCATGGGCCATGAAGACTATGATCTATTTTAAAGCCTCTCAGTTATCACCTGATAAGCGCATAATCTATTTTTACTCCCCACCAAAGACTGCTCAAGTCTGAAGCTCTACTTTAAAATTACTGCACACTTGTACAGCCAATTATACCACACCTTGATGGGGTCCTGCAGCTTCATAACAGTGAAACAGAGTTGAAGACAGAGTGCCAATTTACAAACTAAACTCAAGTTTTATACATCAGTAAACCCATGACCAAAGTGGACTATAACATAAAACCCTGACAAAAAAGTATTTACAACGTAAGCAGTGAAATAAGGCATTTTTATTATCAATCCCAAAGCAGGTCTCTCCTAGAAACACATTTAATCCCACAGCCTCTGATTGTACTTGTATTACCTTTTCTATCTAATGTTTAAAAAGAAATATTTGACTTAGGGATGTATAGAGCTTATTTAGTTCTTTTGCTACCCCTTTCTTTCAGCAGCAATGAAAATCTGCAGTGCTGTGCTGCTTGCTACAGGTTGTAGATGTGAGTTTGCAGCTTGTACAGTCACACTCACTGTGTTTACTATGCAAAACAGTTGTAACAGTATGTGGCAATGAGAAGCCCTAATTTTTGTGGAATTGAATGATTTGTATAAATTCTACTTCTGAATTGCTCTGGAAACTTGAAATTGTCACATAATTAAGAAAGCCATTCAGATGTCTTTCCAGTCTTTCATTTTCTGGCTTTGATGCATTTGCCACTGGGGTTTTCACAGAATATTCAGCTTTCCAGATGGTTTCGTTTACATTTCTGAGTTTGCCATGGTGTGCAGCTTGGGTCTCAATTGCAGGTCACACCTAACGAGGGGACATCTAGAAAATGAAAAATTCCTAGCACCTCTGTGGTTAGCCCTGCTGAATAATTGCTGCAGTAGCTGAATTTTGCTGTACAGATGTTGGTAATTTGCTATTGAAAACCACCAGTATCAAACTGTCAGAGTCAAGAAATGGCTTTAATTATTTCCTCCCTGGAGCAGTAATAGCCATTATTTGAGCACTGCCAAAGCTGGAATGTGTTTGTGTGGGTGATTTCTTAGCACATGGAGTGCAGGCAGCTTTACCTGCACTTGCCAGCCCTTTGCTCCCTCCTCGTGGAAGGAGATTGCTTCAGTCAGGGCCAGATCATCTGGAGACCACCACGAGCTTTCCTCCTTTTCCCTGGCCACCAAAGACTAACATTGTTTTTCTGCTTCATTGAGTCCTGAAAATTGAAGATAAATCAGACAGAAAGCCCTTAGAACTAAGGGTAAGAGGAAAAATCTTCTCTGGGAGGGAATAATTAAACAAAAATATCAGAAGCTATGGGAAATTTGATGAGAAATTGTACTGAGAGAGAAGGTGAGGCCAGCAGGGCTACTGCAGCAGTCTCCTCCTCACTCTGCATTAGCATTGCCTGGGCTCTCCCTTCTTGCAGCATTGGGCACAAACAAAATTATAGTCAAAACCACACAGCTTAAACAAATATATTAAAATTCAGGAGCAGGTCAAAATATTTTTACTATTTTTCAGCAATTTCAACATTATTCTCTCCCCTTCATCAAACAGACCCAAACCTCAGAAAAATTAAAAACTGATGTTAATGTGAACATTTCCACAGGAGCCTGCAAGGGGCTTTGGCTTGTGCTTCAAAAGAACTAAAACCCCTCCAAAATAACTTCTGGGCTAGAATGTTGTATTCCTCCTTCCCATGCTGTATTGATTTGGGAAGACAATCTAACCTCTGTACCTCCAAAAGCTGTCTTGTCTCTGAAGTGGGATAAGGTTCTTCTCCCCAAATAATTTGAGGACTTTTTGTGTCTCTGACAGAGAAGTGCTGAAGCAAAGCTTTCCTGAAGCCTGGGGGAGTTTGTCTCTCAGAAGAGCAAGGAACACTGAGGGTGTTCCTGCAACATCCATGTGCTTGGCCAGCAAGGAGCTGCTGTTCCTTTGAAGTGCTCACTTTGGATATTTGTGCATCTGGAGACAGGGTGTGTTTTCCCACAGGCAGCAACCTTTGCTTCTGCTGCCTGCACAGCCCAGCCCAATGGCACATTGATGCTCTCTGGATTGCTCCAGAAGGGAGAAGCAAAACATGGCTTATGAAAAAAGAAGGAACATGATAAGGAAAACCAGTCTAATGAAATATACTAGAAATATTTGCCAGCTTAAAAGTTTTTAAGTTGTTAAGAGCTCACCTTTAAGTCATGAGCACGTTTACTTTTAATTTATCTAATGTTTTTAAGTACTGGCAAGGAGGAGGTAAAGAATGTTTTAGCTACACATGGATTTTCCTAGATTTTTTAAAATTTCCTTTCTTTTTAGGTCAGCAATAAAATTCAAAAAGCTGAGGGAGGAAGAGAAACAGTCCCTACTTTAAAACACGCAGCTCAGAAGGGAGGGAAAACGGGATTTCTTTGCATCCCAGTGAAGTCAAGACTAGCAGGGTTTTGAGAGGAATTAAGATATTTTATCAACCCAACTTGTGCAGTGAATATTTCTGTGAGGTGATCACTTCCAATTGCTGCTGCTGGTGTCACAGCACAGCAGAGACAACCAGCACCATCTGTCAGCAGCACAGGCTGACTGACCATCAGTGAAAGAGATTCCAATGCTGCCCAAGAGAGGCTGATGATCAATAGCTATTAAAGCTCTTCTGCTCTCCCTGCATGACAACCAAGAGCATAAACAAAAATGAGTTCTGAAAAGCTCCCTGGTGTCTCTGCATGGGCAGGAGATGTTCTGAGTGCAACAGGAACTCCTTGTGTGTGGCACATCTTAACCACAAAACTGATACCTACGCACAGAGTCTGGTGTCAGCAACATCCAGCTCGCAGCTGAAACTATTTTGGAGTTTTGTTAAGAATGACAACATTTGATGAATGGAGATTAATGATTAAAATGCTTCAGCCTTTCTAAGTCCTCACACAATGCGATGGCAAATAAGTCTTCAAAGAGATTTATTTTTGTTCCTAGCAGCTGGATATCTAGAGCCTGCCGTTCCTGAGGGAGTCCCAGAGACCCACTTGATGATGGGAGTGTTTCACAGCTGTAAGAGACTGGGATTGTTAAACAATGACTCGAGCTGGAACGTATTTTAGTGACCAGACTCTGCAAACCCTGAGGTCCCTAATTGCCTGCAGGCAGCCTGCTTATCACTGCAAACCTGGAGCTCCCATCTTGTAACATGAGGCACTGAAAGCCTGCCTTGAACATGGAATTCAATTACAAGGAAATTACTCCAGGAAAAAAACCCAACAAGAACACAACTTCCCACCTCATTTTTCTGCTGTCAGAGGGGCAAGTGGGCTGGGGGCTCGCTGACATCAGGAAGATGGATCCTGATTTACACTTCCACAGGAAAGCTGCTGTGAAAATTAATTGTTTTCCTTACCTACAGACAACACTTATTTACAAGGCAATTACTCCATTACAAACACTTCCATTTTGAGTTTGAATGGAAATTCAACATGGACAATGCCAGAGAAATATTTGGGAAGTCACAATGACAGAAGCAAAGCTTTTGTAAAGCACATTATAAGCCACATTTAAAAATCACTTTGAAACACTCATCAAAGATTTAATTATGGGCTCTGTAGTGATCTGTATTACCAGGCCTTGATTATTTCTGCAAAATATGCTACATTAACTTACACATGACAGAAATGTAGATTTAAATAGCTTTAAAGTATTATAATTAAAATTAAATCACCATAAACAAAATTAATGAATAACATTTTCTGGTTCATAGCCCTAGTTTTCAGTGAATTTGCTCACTAGCTGATTAGAATGCCAAAAGTGGTCATTTTCTATCATGTAATCAAAATCTAACTATGCAAAATTCCAGTACAGCCTCGAAATAAAAAAAATAAAAATCTTACAATCCATTTTATTTGGATAGAAAATAAATACATCAATACCGATTTTTAGGAGGCAACAAAAATCCTCATTAAATCTGGCATCTTTCTAAAATTTCTAAAAATTACCTAAGACAGTTTGCTAGATTTCTTGTTTAATTTGGTTGTAATTCTGTAGCAAGATATTCTGGGGGATATTTTCACATTAAATGCATTTGCCTTAAAA